TCGACATATTTTTCTATTTATGTCACACGAGCGAGAATGAATTTTTGTCGGCATATTTCTATTTATGCTCCATTAGCGAGAATGCATCTTTGTCGGCATATTTTTCTATTTATGCCACACGAGCGAGAAAGCATTTTTGTCTCCATATTTTTGATTATGCCACACGAGAGAGAATGCATCTTTGTCGACATATTTTTCTATTTATGCCCACGAACAGGTATGCATCTATGTCCTTGTTGGCATGCCCAAGTAACGCACAATATCCTTTTACATATTTATTAAGTGAAATATCTATGTAGTTTACTGACCTAGGTATTTGCTTTTTAGTATGCAAACCAAAGAGGAACAATAAAAAAAAAGAAAAAGGACAGGAGCACTTGCAGTAAGTTGTAAGCCTTGAATTAATTTGAATAATGTTAGCTTGTTTTAAACAATGGTGGATTGTACAAATCAATCTTGATTTTAACAAGACATATGCAAAACATAATTTTTTTTAAAGTTGACATGAGACTGAATGCGATTAATACATGGCCTAATTGGTCGTTTTATAGAATATCTACACGGCTCTGTTTGTCGTTTATTAATTCAATGAAAGACAAAAGGTTAAATTTTCAAAGTAAAAGATTATAAATAACATACACAAAGTTGATTCAACGTAACTAAACCGATAAAAAATACCAGTAAAATGTAGGTACAACAGCATTCTGAAAATTTTAATGATTAAATCTTAAATTAGTTGAAAGATGAAATCATATTAAATATAAAGTTTACTTCTTTTTTAAAACCATTAGTTCGTTATTAAGAAAACACCAAAAAGGGAATTTAGAGAAAACAAATTATCAGTTGTTATGAAAATTATCAGTGGCTATGACGAGTTATATTACCGTTAAAATTGCCTCAGGAATTGGCAATTTAATGACAAACAATTATTACCAACTTTACATACTTAGTAATTCTTATTTTACAACGTATTTTCGCCAGGATAATATTGTATTTCATACAATGTTAAAAGTAATTAATGATACACTTGTAGTTGGATTATACAACAGTTTATAGTAATGGAAAATACAATTTTCAAACTAGTTTTTACTATCTATTTTTCTAGATGTTTTCTCTTAGATTATTTAATTATTCTTAGAAAATTGTTGTATAAAAATAAATAAAAGTAAAACAAAAATACTGGTATGCAAGGGAAGAAAAAGTAGGGAAAAATTTCATGATAATCGTTTGATATTAAAAAAACGCCCAAGGAATGTCAGTTTGAATGGAACACTACACAATTTGGCCATTCCTCTCCATTGTGGAACTCCATCAAGGTTTAGAAACGCACTCGTCGTCATCGAATCTAAAACAAGCAAATAAAAATTTTAATAAAATCCAAAAGTTTCAAAGTAAAATGGTTTAAAAAGCTTACCATTCCACGACTGGAAAATCTTGCTCATCAATGGTCCCATGGCAATCGTACATCTAAAACAAAGAAGCACAGCACAAATAAATTTAAACTGAAGTAAAAGTGTAACTTTTCATTTGTTTAAAGGAGAATAAAACACATTATTTGATAAACGAAAGAATAATGAGAAAAAACGAACTAGTTTTAATAACAAGATTTAGATTGTGAAGTGAAAATAGAATTAGAAAATGCAGGGTACTAGGAAGAAGCAGAGAAGAAAATATGTGTTGTGTAAATTGGAGCTAAAAACTCTTGAACTTGTTTCTGGGAGATGTGAAATATCAGGAAATGCAAAAACATGAGGAAATTTAAATGTAAGGAAAGAGTAGACAAAAAAGGATCAGGGAGAAAAGCGAGAAGGATAAAAATTTTAATTTTGTAAAATTCATGTATATTGCATACAAACCATAACGTTTTAATAAAATAAACAATCTATCTATCTTTCTAATAAAATCCAAAGGTTTATGGTGAAATGGTTTAAACAACTTACCTATTCCAAATTTGGAAAGCCTTTTTTTAAGTCCTAATTAAAATCTACTGAATGCACCCAAATTTAATCATTTCCCTCAATTTTGGTAGCATCCTCGATGGCACTAGTTATCATCTAATCGGAAACATGCAAATAAAAGCTTTAATAAAATCTAAAAGTTCCAAAGTAAAATGGTTTAAATAGCTTACCTATTCCACGTTTGAAATAACTTTATCTAAGACCAAATTACAATCTACTGAATGTATCCAAAATTAATCGATTCCCTTTTCATTTTGGTAGCATACCCAATGGAACTTCATCGAGGTTTAGAGATGTACCCATTATCATCAAATCTGAAATAAACAAATAAAAATTTTGATAAAATCCAAAAGTTTCAAAGTGAAATGGTTTAAACAACTTACCATTCCACGAATGGAAAGACTTGCTAATGAATGGTCCCATGGCAATCGTATATCTAAAACACAGCGTCTATGAAATAAATTTAAACTGAAGTAAAACTCTAACTTTTCATTTATTTAAGGGAAGAAAAACTACATTACTTGAAAAACTAAAAAATAAATAGGAAAAACGAACTAGTTTTAATAACAAGATTTAGACTGGGAAGTGAAAATAGGACGGCAGGATACTGGGAAGAAGAAGAAAAGAAAATGTGCAGGTAGAGAGAGAGATGTGGAATAACAGGAAATGGTGCAAAAACATGAAAAATTCAAATGGAAGGAAAGAATAGCTAAAAAAACATCAGGGAAATCCTATGGGGGAAAATAACAGAAAAGCGAGAAGGATAAGGATAAAGTTTGTAAAATTCATGTATATTACATATAAAGCATAATGTTTTAATAAAATAAATAAAAAATAATCTATCTATCTGTTTAATAAAATCCAAAAGTTTTAAGCTGAAATGTTTTAAACGACTTACCTATTATACGTTTGGAAAGCCTTTCTTTTAACTCCAAATTAAAATCTACTGAATGCACCCAAACTTGATCATTTCCCTCAATTTTGATAGTATCCTCGATAGAACTTTATTATGGTTTAGAAACGCAGTAGTTATCATCGAATCTGAANCAGGTCTTTGAATAGTAAAGTCAACTACTAGATAAAAACTTAAAATTCCTAAAAGAATTTATCATTTTAAAATTCTCAAAAGAAGAAAAAAGATTGTTTATAAGCCAAAAATAAAAAGTCGGATTGACTACTTTAAAACTAAATAAAAATATATAGGTAAAACCACATTTTTTCTTACATACAAATGCGGTTTTATTTGATTTTGAATCTTATATTTGCCCCTTTCATATTTCGATATTCTATCCTAAAATTGAGGTAGGTGTATACGAAAATTACCCTTTACGTTGTCCTTCAAAAGCTAAAGATTAAAGAAAGGGATCATAAAGAGATGCTGATATTGCAAGATTAATGTTTGAAATTTTGTATTGGAAAGAAAAGGAAATGAAGAAAATAATAAGAGTTTGTCGTAAAACCATTTCTGGTTTCTTAAGTATTTGATGTGCATCCTTTTCAAATAAGGATTGAATGACTGCCACCAGAATTGATAAATTCAAAATGTATCCGTAATCGAGGCAATTTTAGAAGGCAAACTCTGCAATAAATTATCGAGCTAGAAAAGGACTACTTTACTATATTATTTTACGCAATAGAGCTGTCGAAACAAATTAGAAAAAGCGAAAAAGGATCGAATTTATTAATTACTTTATACTATAATTACATTTTGTATTGCAGGCTTCAGAATAGTTCTATTCTAGTCGAGTATTTTAGTGCAGACTTTGCCTTCTCAAACTGGCCTCACTACAGGTACTCAGATCCTAACATAAAATAATCCATATTATAAAATACTGCTTTATTTCTGTAATATCTGAATACTAATGAAATATTAATAATAATCCTCATTCCTTTTTGCATAACATATGCAATTTTGTGGTTAACCTTCCATTTCTGAATAAAATTTATATTTATGTACGTCACCCAATAAATAGATACTAAAAAATGTGCGCATCTTTTATTTTTTATTACCATCTTTTATG